CTGTTGACATGTTTATCTGGACTTTTTGAGTGGACTATGAAGGGCATGCAGAGAAATCTGATTCTTCTCAAACATTGTTTTGATTTTGTTTTCGCAACTTGGTCATATTAGCAGGAAGACCTAGAGGAACGCACCTTGTCCGGAGTCCATAGTATGCATGATAATTTCCAGAGTCGGATTCTGGACAAGGTACGTTCCTCTAGGTCTTCCTGCTAATATGACCAAGTTTCGAAAACAAGGTCAAACAACTTCTATACAACAAAAGGAGACTGCGATCATACAAAAGGCTACACCATCCCAGCCTTCATACCTTTAATGTAATGATTTGTTTATTTAATTATGCTCATCATTTTGCTTAAAAATTCCAGTCTGGATATGTCAGCGACTCAGTAAGAATAACTTTTAAGATGATTGCCAAGGAGATTGCCTTGGAATTGCGATTGTAAGAAGTGATTAAGTCTGAAACCGGCCATCTTTATTATATTAGTGTGGTTCTTCTGGTTTTTCACTGTGTCGTTTCTTGTCATAGGACAGGCAAAAGCTCAACACAGGTTCATTGTGATCACCTCGTTAGTTATTTAACCTTTCAATTTTTATCTTTGATATGTTTCTATACTAATCTCTCGACCTACATGCCTATCCATATACTCATATTAATATGTCTATTTTACATCCTTTCTCGTTACAGGAATGGGAGTCCATCGAGGAGCCAGATCGCCGCCGAATTGGTCTTGTCCACGACTTGGAGGCTTCCTTCTGGATGCCTTTAGATGCTGTGACAAGGCTATTCTCGGGTTCATATATATGTTTCCTTCCTAGTACAAATATCTTCATGGCTTCTTTGACGCCATCTGGAATGCCCCAACGCGCCTGGAGATTAACACAGCACCACTCTTCTTGGTATGGTGAGCTAAGCGGGGGTGATCTATCTTATCGTCAATCCTTCTTGAAAAACCCTCAGGTATTTAGATTCATTAGCATGCTCCTTGGATTTGTATTTTCTTAGACTTAACTTGAATATCCTTGAAGAAATGTGTAAAGAGTAGAATCAATAATTAACTTACAGGCTTTAAAAAATACATATTGAAACATTTTTTGTTTA